CTGTTCCGGGTTCGGTCTTGTGGTGCCAAGACTAGACGCGATAAGTCGACCCAAGAAGTTCGATTGCCAGCCGCCGAACTAGCGGGTAAGTGTAGCCAAGGCCTTAGAAGTGTTTGTAAAGTGGTTTGGAATCTTCTGGGATGAAAGGTACCTAGAAATGTAAAAAGCAACAGAGTCCTGTGGCACCTTATAGACTATAAGACTATTAGTCTATAAGGTGCCACAGGACTCTTTGTCACTTTTTACAGATCCAGACTAACACAGCTACACCTCTGATACTAGAAATGTAAGTTATCATTGTAATTGTTTGAGACTTTGTCAGGAAATAAGACTTCTTACTCATTCCATAAATGCTGATGCTAATACAGTAGTGAATGTAAGCACTTCACCAGAATGGATTTTTTTCTTCCACTCATGAACTTAAAGCAGGGGGAGCAAACTTTTTGGCCTGAGGGCCACTTTGAGGAATAGAAATTGTATGGCGGGCCATGAATGCTGACAAAATTGGGTTTGGGGTGTGGGAGGGGGTGTCGGCTCTGGGGTGGGGCTGGGGATGAGGAGTTTGGGGTGTAGGAGGGTGCTCTGGGCTGGGACCAAGGGGTTCGGAGGGCGATAGGGGGAGCAGGGCTGGGGCAGAGGTGCGGGAAGGGGTGCAGGTTCCGGCTGGGCTGCGGGCTCTGGGTGGAGCTGGGGATGAGAGGTTTGGGGTCCAGGGAAGGTGCTCCGGGCTGGGATCAAGTGGTTTGGAGAGCGGGAGGGGGATCAGGGCTGGGCGTGGGGAGAGGGGTGCAGGCTCTGAGCCGCGCTTACCTCAAGCGGCTCCCGAAAGCAGTGGCATGTCCCTTCTCTGGCTCCTATGTAGAGGCACGGCCAGGAGGTTCTGCATGGTGCCCCATCCGCAGGCACCGCCCCTGCAGCTCTGATTGGAGCGCGTAGGAGCTGGAGCGGGGCCATGCTGTGGCTTCCGGGAGCTGCACGATGCGGTCCCCAACCTTGCTCCCTGGCCGGAGTGCCAGAGTGGGGCCGAGCTGCGTGGTGCGGCCCCGACCCAGCGCCCCGGCCGGAACGGGGCCAAGCCGTGTGGTGCACCCTCTGATCCAGCGCCCCAACCGGAGCAGGGCTGAGCCGTGTGATGCGGCTCGCGAGCTGGCTTAAAACGGCTCGCAGGCTGTAATTTGCCCACCCCTGACTTAAAGGAAACCATAACCCAGCATGCTCTCTAATAATATTTTGTACTGTTGTAGCTCCTTTCATCTGTTGATCTGAAAGGACGTTGCATTTATTGAGCCTCACAACCTACTTCCTCGATAGGTTGGAGTTTTAAGTATAAAACCAAACTCATTTTGCAGATGTGTAAACTGAAATACAGAAGAGTGATTTGCCAAAGGTCATACACTGAATGAAACAGGCAGGCTCTAAGCTTTGTGTAGCTCGAAAGCTTGTCTCTTTCACCAACAGAGATTGGTCCAATAAAAGCTATTACTTCTCCCACCTTGTCTCTCTAATATCCTGGAAACAACACGGCTACAGCTTGACTGCAAATGATATATTGAATGAGACCGGAATAAAACCCGTGAATTGGAACCCTGTTCTCTTCTGCTGTAACCACTACACTTCATTGCCTTTTCCTGCTTAAGATAACTTAAACTGATTAAATGTAGTAGTTCAGTTTTCCTTTGCAGGGAAAATATTATCTCTTGCCTCTGGTGACTACATTCCACTCCTACATTTAAGACAACTATTTTCATAGTACATCTAATCTCTGAGTACCTGGAGGATGTGGAATATATTTCTTGGACCTTGATTACTCACCCTGGGATTTGTGGTTTTCATCAATTTTGAGTAACATTCTTTTTATCTCAGTTCCTGGATTTTAATTCCATGTGCTGCACTGTGAAAACTCCATTTGTCTTTTAGCTCAGTAGCTTTCAAACTGTGGTCAGTTGTGAATCCTGGTGGTCCAAACCTTTTGAGAACCAAACCCCAGAGAATTAAGAGGGATGTTGGTCCATGAGAGGTTTTGCTGTTATGAAATGTTTGAGAAGAGCAGCAGTATTTAATCATTTAACTGTATTCTTATTTGCTTTGTGTGATACCTATTATGTTGGATGTTTTTCATCCTTTTGTAGAACATTGAGTCACGGTTAAAAGTGCCTTTGCCCAGTGATCTTGGAGCAGCTCTTACTGACGGAGTTGTTCTCTGCCACTTAGCCAATCATGTGCGGCCTCGATCTGTTCCCAGCATCCATGTCCCCTCGCCTGCTGTAGTAAGTATACAAAGATGTAACAGTGTGTTGTAGTTGTCTGAGTCTCATCATAGCGTTTCATAGTCCATGTGAGGACTACATGTAGCATCTTCTTCTGATGTTGGGCAGAACTGACAAAATATCAGTCTCCTTTTCCTAAGCAGAATGCTTAGCAAAGCCATAAAAAAACTAGTGACATTTGTGTGGCTATATTAAATAGTTACTTCTAACACAGATTTTATTAATTGAACTATGTATAGGACTTGAGAACTTTATATTTTAGTAAAACAAAAGGCAGGATTCAATATGAGAACCAAAACAGGATATTTCAGAGGGTCAAAAGGCCTTAGAAACTGAGAAGGACAGATAGCTGGGATATATAGCATTTAAATGGATGTGTGGCAACACAATACAGAAAACATAAGAAAGAAATAGGGAATCAGAATTCCATCTCAATTGATGTGAATAGACTCCCATTCCTGGATCCGCTTAAATTACCATCAACTCTTTCTCTTAGGAATTTTGATAGGGCATATTGATCAGATTGTTCAAAGTCCTTTGAGCACAACGCAGATAAGCCCAGATACGCACTTTTGGGAACAGAAGGACAGGAACTTAATCTTCGTGTATTCTGGGAGTGTTTGTAGCAGGAAGTACACCCAGCAAGCGAAATTGCTTAAGAAGATACTTCTGTGTTTCCTGACTGCAATATTTTGGGCAGTGCTTTAGAAATTTTGGAAAGTACCGCAGGAAAAGTACCTGTATCTATAACTTCATCAGTGGCAACTAAAAATGTGTACCACCAAAATACCACATGTAGCTAGAGATGGTATAAGAATCAGGAAATGAAGAGGAGTCACTTACAGTATTGATCCTGTTGTTGTTGCAAGTTTGTTCATTTCGTTGGGGTTTTTTTAGGCAACCTAATAGACTACTTGAAGATCGGTGGAGCATGGGAAATTGTCTGCCTTCCCTTACTGCTTGTAGCATACCCACAGGAGTGCTTCATAAGTTAGAATCCAACAGAGCGATACAAGACACCCCCGTGGGCTCTTGCCTACTTGAAATATACACGTGTATTTTGAATATATAATGTGCATTTTGCTCTCATAAAGGCAGATTTTTTTGCTTGTTATGATTTTAAAACATGGTGAATGACTATATAAATAAAAAAGGAAACCAAAGGGAGTCTCTGGGGAAAATGTATGTTAAGTTTTGCTTTGATTTATTTTGGAGACAGTACTTGTGTTAGAACTCTAACTGGCACTTACAGCATTGTGTGCCATATCATTATGGTTTGTCTTCTCTGGTCTTGTTTGATCATGCAGATGTTCCCATTGTTTAGATAACAGACCAAATAGATATGATGGCATTTTAGGCAGATTACAGAATCCTCAAAAAATGGATGCATATAGCTGCTATTCAGTAAACTCACTTCATAATGAAGATAATCTCTGTGCCCTGTCCTCCGTGGAATTGGATGGTTCCAACTCTCCATTGTGAGCTAAATCATGATGTTGCCACAAGCCCTGAGTAAGAGGCAGCGTAGTCGCAGTGCCTGGAGAGCGGAATGGGGTTATATTGTAATATGTTCTCTGTTTTCCCTCCTTACTCCAGGAGGGGAAAATCTGCATCAACCCTTAACCTGGCACAGATTATTTACCCCTCTGTCCCAGCTCAGCTGTGCTGTCTGGCACATTGAGGGTGTGGGGCTGAAGCTCCACCAGCTTCCCACCCACCTGCTTAGAGGGGGGGAGTATTAGCCTCACAGAAGCTGCCCGGTCCACTGTTACCCACAATGTGGGTAGCCAGCACAGGGGAGAAAAAGGGGCATCTTATGTCTTGTTTCTGTTTGTGTAGTCTATTCTTTTTCCAGTAGTTAAAGTCTGTGTAAAAGTGTTGAAGTTAACCAGAAAATGCCCATTGTTCAAGACAAATCTGATAAATACAATTTAGAACTCTGCTGTTAACCGTATGAAACACACTTGTAAGGAACTTAGGCAGCAGCTTCCATTTTCTCTGGTTTCGTCTGGCTCTTTTTGTACCTCTTTGTTAACTGAAATATGTTTTAAACATGCATATAATTTAATAATTCAGAATAGGCTCCAGGTTGGTTCATATCATAAAATTGCTCTGAAATGCAAAGGTCACCGTACTGGAGCTATGTATGTATGTTCTATTCTAAACGTATTTTTAAGATTAGGTTAGTGCAGTCACTCAGAATAGACACCAAATGTGCAGCCTATCTTATAACACGTTGTGTGTCTATTTTGCACAGATCAAAATACTTTTTCCATTAAAATATCCATTTCAGCACTTCGTGAGTGAGCTTTTCACTTCAGGCCTGCCTTTCTAAGGAAATGTCCAACCACCCTGTAACAGAGCTCTGTTTTGAATTAGACACGCTTATGTCATCATGATGCGTTTTTGGCCTGCAGATTTATTATGAGTTTATTTAACCCAAAAGCTTTATTTTTAAAAATCCTGCCAATTAAGAACTTTGTATGCCTTCTTCCCCGCTTCTTTGCAGCCTAAGCTAACAATGGCAAAATGCAGACGAAATGTGGAGAATTTCCTGGAAGCTTGCAGAAAGATTGGTGTGCCTCAGGTAAATCCCCTCCTATTCCTGTATTGTCAGGTATACTGTATTGTATGGGACTTTACAAAACAGATCTTTCTGAAATGTTTGGGGACAATAGAAATGTGTAAAATTTATTACTGTAGGTTCACATGTAAGGTACATAGAACAATAAAGAGCTGATTTAGTTTTGTATTGTCTCAGGAAGCAAAATAAAGTTGCTATAATGGTTTGCAAAGAGTATGCCTCACTTACTGTGATCTAGAGAAAGTTCATTATAGTTGGGCTCAGTCTGATTCTGTCGAGCAGAATGAGGAGGTGCATTAAGAATCTGGTTTTGAAAAATGTCATTCAGGTTTCTTGAGACCATATGTTTGGTGTTAATCCAAGAGGCTTTAAAAATAAAAAAAATTTGATATAGTTTTGAGTGTTTTCCCCCCCAGTACCAAGATTTCTGTTCTGCCTTCAGAGCAAAACCTACTTCTCAGTTATTTTATGTGAACACTTGGATTGTCTAAGAAGAAACCATTATATTGGTCTGTTCTCTAATGGGAAGTCGTCTGTTCATAGATCTCCACTCCTTTTGTTATATGTTCTTGCTCTCAAGCTCTAGTACTTTCTGGAATTCCTCTTCACCTTCCAAAACACTGCACATTCTCTCTTGGGGCAAGAGCTAAGAGATGGAAATATAGATATACAATATAGCACATCATAGTCCAACTGTCTTTTCTTTCTCTTTCCCTCCTTCCCCACTTCACTTCTGACACCAGCTGATCTCAGTGCAAAGGTGACTTTGATGTTTTAATAGCTACTTACTCTGTTTTGCTGCTGTTTTTTTCTCTGGTGCATTAATTGCTATGTTTCCTTACATTACAAAGTAAGTGTTAGAATTCACATTGCGGTTTTGCTTCATGTTTTTTTCTTTTATCCTGTTTGCTTTTTGAAAGATGTCTCTGAAAGGGAAAAATGGACCCATTGACTCATAACTACTTCTGAAAGTGATTGCTGGACAGTCACTGCTAAAGCAGTATTTGCCTGGATTAAGTCATTGATAGCTTCACTTTCAAGACGTATTACAGCTGATTGCCTTAAGCCATCAAAAATTTAGGATAAACTCCTTATTTAGCTGCCCATTAATCTCTTAAGACTCATTGGTGCATGAGGTTGGAACACTGCAGTGAGGGACCCACTGTTACTTTCGAGTTCTGCACTAACTAGAGGTGCTGAAGTAAACCAAAGTCATTCACTTGTCAGTCTCACTCAGAGTGAGTTACTATTCCCTGGAACTGAAGGGAGAGGACAAGTGAAATAGTAGGTCATATCTACTAAGCTGCTCAAGTCTATGCACTGAATGCAAGTCTATGGTGCGGACTCCATTATGCTAGATCTGCATGTAGGTGCACAGAGGCAGGCAAGACTGACCTACCTAGAATCTGCATTGAACTTCAAATTAGAGTTCCTGAAGAACAAGGCCTTTGTGAATACTTAGCTGAGTGACTCCCCACCTGAACTCTTAACTCACCTTTACATGTCTCCTCTGCCCCTGAGCAGAGAAGGTAGGATGTCTGCATGAGAATGCCAGTCTAGTGTACTGTTATTGAAAAAATGCCTTTGTGTGTCTCCTTTCATTTAAATTCTGAGCTTACAGAAATAGAAGGATGTCTCAAAGTATGGACCTATGTAGAAATACTTACCTTTTAAGAGGGCAAACGAGTTACCTGTAATTATTGTTCTCTAAAGGTAGTATCTTGCATAGAGCCACACTCATATTCCAGTATTCCAGTGGAATAGTTGTATAAAACTGTGTGACTTGGCGGTCTTGGATCAAAAGAAACTGACAGTTGGACACTATGATATGCTATATTCGCACCTATCCATCATTGTTTACAGTTGATGCCTCTGTTGGAGGAGGTGAAAAGTCCAGAAATGTTGATAATTTTAGAACACTTAAGCCAGGTAATTAAATATTTGGTATCTATGCAGAATACTACATTCAGAGATCAATTACAGGTAAATAATCTGCTCTGTTTGTGCCATTTTGAATAATTTCACTAATTAAAGTATGGATTAAGTATGTAGAACATGAAGACTCATATGCAGCCAGTGGTAGTTAAGAATATCTTATCCAATTTATTTCTGACTTCCAAAATATAATGGTTTTGAACTAACACTTATGACAACTGTCAGCTGTTTTATTGAAGAGATTTTATTACATATTTAAACTAGACAGATTGACACACTAGTGAACACAAAATGCATATAAGGAGGTAGTTCTTTAGAACAGAAGTCTTGCAGATTCCTTTGTGAGAATTAACCAGTTGTAATTTACTCCTTGAAATTGTTGGATGTATTTGAAATGTCAGATGACTGACTGCTTCATGGATACTTGCAAGGTTGATCAACTGACTCTGTTTTTCTGTCTGTTTTCCCTTCCTGCTCACACACTTTGGACAGGACAATCTTTGTTCCCCTTCTGACATTCTTCAGCTAAACCTCAGCGTTAAAAGGACAGTTGAAACTCTTCTTTCCCTCGGGACAGAGTCAGAAGAATCCACTCTTGTCTCTCTTTCCATCCAGCTTTGGGGCTTTGTGGCATTTTACTGTACTCTAATGCTAACACTCTGTATGTTCTATCGCTGGGTCTTTTTCCTCTAGCTGAAGGACGGTGGTGCTGCCGACTCGCTACATCACTTCAGCGATTGGTAAAGGCTTTGTTTTTGTCAAGAACTGTTTGGATAAGTGCATTCTTTCTGATCACCAGTCAGAGTTGACATGTACAATGTAAAAACGCTCTTTGGTACACCCAGGTGACAATCTATGACATGGTTACAAGTTTGTATTTGTGTGATGTTTAGCAAGCGTTCTACTTACAAGGGGAGGCATTATTGTGCAGTGGCTAGAGTAAGGGACTAGGGTTTAGTGCACTGGGTTCTAGTCACAACTCTATTGAATGGCTGTGTAACATGGGAAAATCACAGCTCCACTGTACCTCAGTTTCCCCATTTGTAAAATGGGAATACCACCCACATTTATAAAGTGCTTTGAGTTCTTCTGATGAAAAGTGATATATATGTGTGAAAAATACTGTTTTTTCTTTACATGTCAATGTGCCTGGTTATATCTTACTGTCTTAGGAGATGTGGCCTACGATTCTTTTGATCAGGAGTGCTCTAGAGTTTTTTTACGTGCCAGTTTCCTCAACCCTTTTTGCTAAAGTCTTGGATTTCTTGTATTGTTAGGTTCTGAATAGCGTCTCATTTTACTAAGGCTGTGTCTACACTACAGACCATACAGCGGCACAGCTATACCGCTACAGCAGTGCCACTGTAAGGTCTCCTGTGTAGCCGTTCTTTGCCGGCAGGAGAGAGCTCTTCTGCCAACATAATTAAACTGCCCCAACGAGCATCTCCTGCCGACATAGCGCTGTCCACCAGCAAAAGTGCTGGGGAAACCGCTGTCGGTCGAGGGGGGAGGGTGTTTTTCACACCCTGACCAACAAAAGTGGTAGTATAGACAAAGCCTAAAAATAGGCACTTAGGCTGACAATAAATCCTGAGCTACTTTACCTTACTAAGGCTTTGTCTACACTGGCACTTGCCTCGTTGAAACTTTTGTTGCTCGGGGGTGAAAAAACACCCCCCTGAATGACAGAAGTTTTAACGATGAAAAGCACTGGTGTGGCCAGTGCTTCGTTGGTGGGATGAAGCTACTGCCCCTCAGTGGAGGTGGTTTTATTTCGTCACCGGGAGAGCTCTCTCCCAGCGACAAAGAGCAGCCACATTGTGCACCTTAGAACGGCGCGGCTGCAGCGGCACAGTGTACGCATAGCCGAATACATCAAGCATGGAGTTTGTAGAGGAGCTGAACATTTTCATCCACACTGCGAAAAATCTGGTTCCTGGTGCAAAATGAGCTATCTTTAAATCCCATCAGAAACCTTGTAGTGTCATGGAATATTACTGTGGTCCTCATAGCAAACATCTGGAGCAGCCACTTGATTGGTGTGAGCTCAAACTCAACCTTATTCCATAAGTCTCTTTCTCCGCCTCATGATCAGAATCTTTGCATCATAGAATTGTGGGCTACAGGCTCTAATAACGTATTCACTCTTCACTGTTTTGCAAAACTCAGGTACTCTTCAGAATTTTTCAGCGGCACGCTGCATTCTGTTGCTTTCATGCATTCTCAGGGAGACCGTGATCCATAAATTGGATGTCAAAAGGAGCAGACAAAGGCCATCCAACTTTTTCTTTTGACACCAAACCAATTATCTGCCCTTTTCTGTTGTTTGCTATTGTTTTAATGGGACTGTCACGTGAACTCTATATTAGAGCCCCACTTCCTTCAGGGTTTGCCAACAAAAGTATTTAGACTCTGATCAGTTCTGTTTCCTTATTTGCAGAGCTGCTACATGGAGCTCACTATTTACTTTTTTCTCTGGGCAGTATTACCTAGCCTGGTGCTTCTCAGTCAGCCGTCCTTCAAATTTCTGTAACTTGTACTTAACCTGCCTCTTCCTATCTAGATGAAGAGCTTCTGTGTTGGGTGCCAGTGCACCACTGCCATGTGGCAAGGGGTGGGGAGGGGTGTTAGTACTTACTGTGAAGCTTGGGCTCCTTCGAAAATCAGTGTCATATTTGCAAGAGTGGCATTTGGAGCCACGCAAGTTCTATTCCAGATTAGACCAATTACAGTTTTAATGGGAAGTAGTGGCAATGATCAAGCCCAGTATATCGATTGTTACCCACAAAGGCTGGGACCCATTAGCCTAGTTTTTAATCCAGATTTGCCACATCTCTCCTGCTCAGTTATTGGATGTTTAGACTGAGTTCCCATTCTGCCCTCCCACTTGATTCAAGTCAGAGTTCCAAAGTTGTCTTAGAGCTTCAGGGTACTCCTGATGCTGTGTGCAAGAGACCATGTCTCCCCAGTTTAGATTGATTAGGAGACTGTGTTCAGAGACCAGTTACAAGTGAGTATTAAGTAATTTGTCCTTTTCTGAATGTGTTTCAATGAATTCCTCTTAATCCTAAGAAATATGGTCAACAGCTCTTAAACCCAGCTTAGCTGCTGCAGTGCAGTGTTTCAGCAGTAGTAAGACAGTAGTAAGTCTGAAGCATGGCATCGTATGTAGCTGAGTTGCAAATGCTAATTGCCATTGAAAATGTTTTTTAATATGCGTGGTCTGCTGAGCCTTGTAATAAAAGTAGGGCTAACTAACCTAAGAGGAGGTTAATGGGAGTTCCTTGCCTCCTTTTCAGATCACATTGTGATTTGACACAGAACATTCCTGTCTGGGAATTCTGCCTGAGGAGAACGTGCTTGTTTTTTCCCCACAAAAGGCAGGATTACAGTTATTTAAAAAAATTGACCATTGGAGCTGTTTTTACACTGTTTACTGGAATGGACTAAAACTAACTCAGTTGCCTTTATTAACTTCTCTTAATGAACACTGTGATAAAAACTGCAAGGGTTTACAATAATGGTGCCTTCCAGTTTTAAGCCTTTTTGTCTGTCTCTGTGGTATGGATTCATTCCAAATCATTTCCCCTTGTTTGTTTATATATTTTTAAAAGGCTGAAATCCACAGATATTTTATCAGTAATTGTACTTTTCTCCAGTCTAAGAGTGATGCCTCCTTGTTTATTGGACCTGAAAGGTGTCAGTCTGACCTCAAGAATTGCAGGTTGCACTTATGCAGTGTGTGTCCTGTCGAGGTCTCCACATGAGGAGTCCAGGCTCTGATCGCTCACACATTGCCAAGAATTTGAAGATTTTTTTGTTCAAGTCTTCACAGAAGATGCAGGCAGTGTAGCAAATCAGGTTGCCAGGTTCATATATAAAGAAATGTATAAAGATTCTCCAGGATTTACAGAGTGGCCAGATATGGGGTATCAGGTTTTTTTAAAGTAGAAATGCAAGGACCTGATTCCACATTTGACTCTCCATGGTTGGACCCCTGCATGAAGCTTCGCTGAGGTCAGTGGGATTCTGCCTGAGCACAGGCGGACAGCCTCTGTGGAGTTGGTTGCAGGATCAGGCCCTAAACTCATATTATACACACAACAGCACAACTCTGTAAATGCCTTGAAAGTTCATTCCACACTAGATATTTTTAAGTACTACTACTTAGTAAGGGTGCTTTTCTGAGATGACTTGTATTAAAAAAGAATGCCTGTGAAAGATGAATAACTGATAGCTCAAGAGTGACCTTCTTTTATTCCTATATTGAGGGTATTTGCCTTTAAAATATTCCTGGTAATTCTTCATTGTATTCTTTTTAACAGTAAGAACAGCACTTTTTACATGTATCCTTTTTAGGGTTGTCAAGCAATTAAAAAAATTAATCGTGATTAATCGCACTGTTAAGCAATAATAGAATACCATTTATTTTAAATATTTTTGGATGTTTACTACATTTTCAAATATATTAATTTCAATTACAACACAACACAAAGTGCACAGTGCTCACTTTATACTTATTTTTTATTACAAATATTTGCACTGTAAAAAACAAAACAAAAATATTTTTCAATTCACCTCATACGAATACTGTAGTGCAATCTCTTTATCATGAAAGTTAAACTTACAAATGCAGAATTGTGTACAAAAAAACCTGCATTCAAAAATAAAACAGTGTAAAACTTTAGAGCCTACAAGTCCACTCAGTCCTATTTCTTGTTCAGCCAATCGCTAAGACAAACAAGTTTGTTTACATTGATGGGAGATACTGCTCCCTGCTTCTTATTTACAATGTCACCTGAAGTGAGAACAAGTGTTTGCATGGCACTTCTGTAGCTGGCGTTGCAAGGTATTTACATGCCAGATATGCTAAACATTCATGTGCCCCTTCATGCTTCAGCCACCATTCCAGAGGACATGCTTCCATGCTGATGATGCTCATTAAAAAAATAATGCGTCAATTAAATTTGTGACTGTACTCCTTGGGGGGGAGAATTGTATGTCTCCTGCTCTGTTTTACCTGCATTCTGCATATAGTTCATGTTCTAGCAGTCTCGAATGATGACCCAGCACATGTTCGTTTTAAGAACACTTTCACTGCAGATTTGACAGAACGCAAAGAAGGTACCGATGTGAGATTTCTAAAAATAGCTACTGCACTTGACTCAGGGTTTAAGAATCTGAAGTGCCTTCCAAAATCTGAGAGGGACGAGGTGTGGAGCATGCTTCTAGAAGTCTTAAAAGAGCAACACTCTGATGCAGAAACTATAGAACCCAAACCACCAAAAAAGAAAAATCAACCTTCTGCTGGTGGCATCTGACTCAGATGATGAAAATGAACATGGGTCAGTCCGCACTGCTTTGGATCGTTATTGAACAGAACCTGGTATCAGCATGGACACATGTCCCCTGGAATGGTGATTGAAGCATGAAGGGACATATGAATCTTTAGCGCATCTGGCATGTAAATATCTTGCGATGCCGGCTAAAACGGTGCCATGCGAACGCCTGTTCTCACTTTCAGGTGACATTGTAAACAAGAAGCAGGCAGCATTATCTCCGGCAAATTGTAACCAAGCTTGTTTGTCTAAGTGATTGGCTGACCAAGAAGTAGGACTGAGTGGACTTGTAGACTCTAAAGTTTTACACTGTTTTATTTTTGAATGCAGTTTTTTTATACATAATTCTACATTTGTAAGTTCAACTTTCATGATAAAGAGATTGCACTACAGTACTTGTATGAGGTAAATTGAAAAATACTATTTCTTTTGTATATCATTTTTACAGTGCATATATTTGTAATAAAAAATAAGATAAAGTGAGCACTGTGCACTTTGTATTCTGTGTTGTAATTGAAATAAATATTGAAAATGTAGAAAAACATCCACAAATATTTAATAAATTTCAATTGGTATTCTATTGTTACAAGTGCGATTAATTGCAATTAGTTTTTTTTAAGAGTTAATTGCATGAGTTAACTGCGATTGACAGCCCTAATCCTTTTTGAAGGCCAGTCAATTGTGTGTATAAACAAGGACCCTATTTTGTCATAAAACAACTAATGTGCTCTTCTGTTTTCTTCTTTCACTTGGCTTTCTGCTGTGTGTCTAGTAGGAAAGATCAGACCAAATGTGTGGTGTGTTGTTTTAAGAGGGTTTTTGTGGGGGTAATATATCTCTTGCTGTTGACAAGAACTGCTCTTAAGCATGGGGATACTTCTCAGATTTATTGCACAATATTTCCAAAGCACATGCTAGTATCGCAGTATTTGTTAAAAGCTTTAAAAAGTGTGTTTGCTTATTCACATCTGGGAGCTGAACAACGGTGTTTGAGGACTCCCCCACATCCCTGTTGTGTACGGAAATGAAAACACCATTCCTGTTGTACTCTGGATCTGTGATCATGTTTACCAGATTGAAGTAAAGGACCCACACCCCACAGTCAATCCAATTCTGATTTCATCAAGTGATGTCATTTGAGTGGAGTAAGGGCAAATGGGTGATTTCCCTCTTCTCACCTGCTCCCCTGAAAACAGTCCTTATTTGTACGTATATTTTTCATGAGTGCTGATGAATAAACAAACAAAATGATTGTCCAAGAGTTTGCTGGTTTGTTACCTTGGTGTCACATTTACAGCTGTCTTATCCAGAGATAAAGGTTTATTTCCACAGATATTTTTGTTTAGGTGTCCATACCATTTCATATTTCAGTCTCCTTCTGCTTGTTTAATTTGTATTTTTTTCTTTTCTTTTCAGTTGAGTGGTTTTCATCCCTTTTCTTTGTTTTTGTCTTTTTGTTGTGTTTTTCCCATGTAGGAGCGATTATGTTTGCCTCTGCATATTTTAGAAGAGAAAGGTTTGACACAGGTAGCAGTGACAGTCCACGCACTTCTGGAGCTTGCACCCCCAAAGCAGCAGCATCACCACTTGTCTGCTGCGTAAAGATCTCCAGGACCTTTTGGTTTCCCTTGGCTAAGGAGAAGAACATGAAGACTTTACTGCTGGTGCAGTGTATCCAAACACACAGAGCTTGGTTCTAAGAAGGAAATTAGCTTCTGTGATTCCTGACAGGAATGTTTTGCTTCATTTCTCCACTTTTTTGGAGATCACACCAGTTTCCATTTAATTTTTTACCAATATTTTTCCCCTTTATAAAGTGAGGTTTTTTCCGTGGGGAAAATTCCTTTGTCTGGTTGTTTAGAAGCATCTGTTAAAACTGACTATGTAGATGTAGGGAATTTATATATACAGTTGGAAAAACGGTAAGATTCCTACTAGGATGTATTTCCAAAGGGGATGTTTCCATTGCAACACAGTGATGGAGACTGCTTGTCCTCCCCAGGAGTCCCAGAGAGAGTTTTCCCTGCTTCTAAGAAACGCCAGCTCTTTCCAGTGCATATAAAGATCACAGGTTAAGACTGTGTTTTGAAGCTGATGAGTCTCAGTTTTTCAAAGCAAGACTGAAAGTGATCCTTCAGTCTGTGTTGGCATGTCCTCAATATTCAAAAAATATAGAGAGTGCTGTTTTGTTCCAGGGAAAACATACTGCTTGTTACCTCTATAAGTAACACACATTTCAGTGAAAGATACTAAACCATAACTGTTCAAATAGTTTTATTAAACAAATCAAAATATTTGCTGGCTTTAAGCTTCTGTTGGTTATAAATCTCTCTTTGTATTGGAATCTTCCCCACTTCAGTGGGAAAGATCTTACCCCTTTCTTGCCCTCTCCTACCCATCATGGGGACTCGGTTACTAAATGGTAATGTTAAATTGGTCTATGGCTTGTATGTGCTGCAAATAATGACTGAAGATTTTCCTATGGAGAATCATGTACCTATTTTCATTTCAGTGCAAATAATCGTAAGCTATCAAACCATCCATTAGAGATCTGCTATCCAATTCTGTTTTCAATTGAAAACAACACACAACCACCCCCTTACACCAATGAAGACCCCAGTTATGTAGGAACAAATTATTGTAGGAAAGAATGAGATTATTGAATTCCTGGAGTGGTTCTGTGTGTTGGCATAACGCTCAGCTTTCAAAATGCCAGTCTTTTGCAAAAGGAAATTTCTGCGGGTGGGTTTGAGAGAATGTGTTGTTAAAGCATGTTTTCTTGTAGTTCATACAGTGCTATAAACTGCCTTTACTCCCCTCCGCCTACCTCCTTTTCCCCAAAAAGTGGAAATTCAAAATATGTGAACAGGAAACTGAAAATAAGGTATGATGTTACTTTAAAGGTGACTGGCAAAGTCCAGAATTCTCTGCTGCCTTGGCCCCCTGACTAGGCTGGGTCACATCCAGCCCTGCAGTAACTTTATTTTTTGATATAGTAACAATTTAAATTTAAATATAGTAACACTGTTCTCCCACAATGAAATCCTCTTGCTATTCCCTGGGGTATCCCAGAAGACACCTCTGCCATTATCATGGATTGCACAGGGTGTGAATGAGACTTCTGGTATTTGTGGTGTTCCATTCTGGGGTATTGTTAGTGAACCAGTAATACCAAGAGGTTTTCAGAAGGGATGAAGTGAGCAGAAGAGATGGAAAAAGGGTTAGTTAAAAGTTTTCTTTGCTGTAATAAGCCTGGTCATGGGAACATTTGAGCACAGAAGTCTGGGCTTAGCTGAATTTTCCCTTTAGATTTGTCATTCCATTCTCACCCTGATTTGTTTGCATAATAATTATTTCATGGTAGCTTGTGGTAACTGTTGTCTCAACGATTTCACATAAGGAAATATTTTGCTTCATATTGGTGTTGACGCCACTGATCACACCATAAGTCTAGAAAAACACGTGAAGGATATTTAAAACTAGAGTCGCACAGTTGATAAGAGAAAATATTTTCATAATGTGTAAGTGGCTGCCTTGGGTTCTGGAAGATCTGAGTATGCCAGTAACGTGCATCATAAAAAGGAAGAGAGCAGCTCTGTACAGGTACACCTTCCCCCAGCAAACGGTTAGACTGTGTTCACAGCACCTTGTTCCAAGGGAAGGCTTGCAAAGGACAGAGCTGGTCCTTGAAGGATTATGTGGCAGTGAAAGGAGAATTTTTTTTACTGCAGTCTCTGCCCTTTGTTGAATGGGGAATGGCATCTCACTGCTGACACTATAGACTAGTGGTTCCCAAACTTTTTCCCCCCACCCCCATCCCCTGAAGCAGTGGGGCCAGTTCAGATATTTCTTGGGAGGAGGCAGATTTTTTCAACCCTGTGCCGCCCGGTCCCACAGCCAGCCCTACTCTCCCCTTGTCACCCATTCCCCAGGGTAGTGGGAGGAGTTGTCATTGCACCGTGGAGCAGGCGGGGCACACGGACTGGGCACTCCGGCCCATCAGTGGTGGCAGCATGGGCTCCCCAGTGCTGCAGCTCCCTGCCAGGCTGGGGGTTCTCATTTCAGCACTGCCAGCCCTTGGATTCTTCTGCCAGCAGCAGAGACTAGCCTCTCTGCAGACAGCTCCGTGCACCCCAGGATGGGACCATCAGCAGCTTCTCTGCCTCCCCTCCCTGCTGGCTCGAGGCTTCCAGCAACGCCAAGTGGAGAGGCCGGCGGTTCTTGGAGGGCCCAGCAGGCAGAGCGGGATTGGGTGCCGCGCATGTCCCCTCCAGAGCTCCCGCCTCCCTCACACTGCTCCTTACCCCTCCTCCCTGATGGCGCAAAATCTTGCAACCCTCTGCAGGTTGTGACCCCCCGTTTGGAAAACTCTGATATAGACAATTCTGCCATAGACCATAAATGCTTTCTTTGGGGTTGTCTACAAATCATTGTTAAAGGGGAGTAACAAATGAATCTGAATTCTCAGTACTAGATACTTTGCATTCTGTGTACCTGGGTATTAGGTTTTGTTTAATAGATCGAAAGAAATCTGTTAAACTTAATGTGGAATTGTGAGAGTCTGTTATTTGCTCCAGCCCAGCTTCCCGGACTTACAGAAACTGACTGTAACAGCATTCATGTTGGTAGAAGTTGGACATTTCATAAATGTTAATTTTTGGAAAACTAACCACACCTCTACCCCGATATAACATGAATTCGGATATAACGCGGTAAAGCAGTGCTCCAGGGGGGCGGGGCTGCGCACTCCGGCGGATCAAAGCAAGTTCGATATAACACGGTTTCACCTATAAGATTTTTTGGCTCCCGAGGACAGCGTTATATCGGGGTAGAGGTGTATTTGGAGTGTGAGCCTGACTTTCAGTGAATAGCCACTTCTCAGTGTGTCTTGTAAAATCAGCCACTGTCGCACACAAATGTGTGTAGACGAATTTTACATCAGCAACTATGCTTGTATGCCTGGTCAGGTGTATGCTCCTATTTTCTTTACAGTTCTAAACAAACGTTTCACTCGAGCAAGTACACATTTGTGTGGTCATGTTAGTTTGACTCTTTAATTTTCTGTTTTTGTGCTGGCAAACACTAAACGTTGACCAGACATCGAGGATGAAAATCCAAATCGGAAATTTCAAGATACGGTTTATTTGTGATGTATTATACAAAAAAACCCTTCCATTTTCTGTTGTAAATAAATGGGTTGGGATTTTTTGGTATATTTATGTGCAATTTTTGTTATATCCAGTGAAAAAATATTTTAAAGAAAACACATTGGATTTCATTTTGTGTGCTAAAGCAAGAATCAATTGTGGTCTTTCCCTTTTGGGGCATTTGTGTTGGGGAAAAATCCATTTCAGAGTGTAGCGCTTGCTAGTAGGTTTATGTTAACTCCGCTGTGTAGTTAACCTTGCTAAGCACTGAAGAACATTGAGGATCGATAACGTTACGAAATAGAAATTGAAGTGGCACTGGCACTTAATGGTCCTTGACGGTGTTGAAATGATCTGGTCAGGAAATAGGGGTTTTTGATTTCTCCTCCTTGAGAGCTAGCGACGGGGGAGACTTGTTCGGAAAGCCCCTTCCTTGCTGGGTTATTAAATTCTAGACAACGTTTTACAGCACTGAGAACACTTCTGTTGCTCTTAGCAGTGACGTGATAACTGGTGTTTTTTTTTTAAATCTTTTTATGACTTTAAATGGTTCTTTGACATTTTTGTTTTAGAAGCAGAGGAATTCTAAGGTGGATTTAAACATTTTAAAAAATGGTTTGTATAGATATTGTGTTTTACAAACAATCTAATTTTGTTTCTGAAAACCTTGTAAACGTGTAATTAATAGAGTAAAGGATTTTTAAAGCTCCGCCCATACTTGTATGTCTGTAAATACATTCCATAATTTCTAAGACTGTTAAGTATAAATATGCCAGAATATTGTGTACTTTATTTTAAATTGCCTGTATGCTGCTAGTTGTGTGAACTTCTAGCACACTGATAATATAAAACCAAATACCTGGGTAATTTGAAATAAAGTTTTAAAACCGACATGAACTGAAATATTTCTTTCTCCTCCTTATATTTTTATATTTGCATCAGTGATTGTCAATTCCTGTGTATCAAGCGTGTATTTACTTCCTGAATTGTCGTATTTATTAAGAGATCGGGATGTTTGTTCTGGTCTTCTTAGGAGCTTGGTATAGGAAAACTTGTTCTTTCAGCATAACGCCCCAAGGGCCAGAGTAGGAGACTGTGTATGTTTGCACTCAGTATGTTTCTTTCAGCGGATGTAATCAGAAACTGTTTCTCTGCAGCCTTTCTAGCCCCTGCCCCTGAGAGTAACTATAGTGTTCCTCAGAATCAGCTCCCCCGCTCATTCTTAGAAGTTAGTGGTGGAAAATACTTTTTAGGTCACATGGGCTGTTAGCCACAGCCAGTGCACAGCTGCTCTCTGTATTATGTTCTCATGTTATTTATCCCGTCTAGTTTTCAATTCTGTGAAGTTTGCACCAGTATTCCCCTCAATAATAGGAAAGTTTTTCCGATGGCACAAAATGTTTGTTCCTCCCTCCTTTCCTTCCTCCCTCATAACTAGAGTTTACAGCAAACAAGTGAGAGGCCTAAAAGTTGCTAGCAGCCACAGAACTTCCTACCTTGCTTCATACATGCTGCTGTCCCTCCCACCCCACCTCCGGTTGGTCCACAGTGCTACCACATCGGCCGTGTCCCCCACTCCAGATCCACTCTTCAGATCCCTTAACTTCTGCATCAGTTTTCAGGCTCCGTGTTTTCATCTTCAGGACCCTGTACAGCTTGGATCCGGCCTCCCTCTGCCCTGCCCGCCCCAGCCTCATGACGTAATCAGCCCTTGTGTGATCTTCTCTCAGCCAGTCATAGAGCTTAAGGCCAGAAGAGATTAACCACCAGATCATCTAATCTGACCTCCCATACCACAGTCCATTCTTCATGCTGTCTCTGGCCCTCTATACCTGGCATCTCTTCTTGACTGCCCTACGAGGGTCGCACCTGTTCCTCTGTGTGCCTCCTTCAAACACACTTCCTCCAGAAGGCCTATTCCCCCTTCCACATGGACAAGTTTTAGTTTTGGATGCCTGATCTTCCCCTGCAAAATCCAAACAAAAATGGTGGCTGTACTAAGAACCATGCTAGACTCCCATCTTTCACTCTTGCAGCTCTTTGTTGCACTCTATTTCCTTGCATTTTTACATGTAATATTGTAAGACTTTCAAGGCAGGTGCTTTATCTTCTGTCCGTCAAGCATCTATCTTATTGTTTGGGGATGTAGACAGGTGGTGGAGACAAGGTCCCTTAGAGCTCACAGGCAGAGTTGGCTATAGAACGGGTGCAACCTAGTTGGGGGGAGGGATAGCTCAGTGGTTTGAGCAGTGGCCTGCTAAATCCAGGGTTGTGAGTTCAATCCTTGAGGGGGCCACTTAGGGATCTGGGGCAAAATCAGTACTTGGTCCTGCTAGTGAAGGCAGGGGGCTGGACTCAATGACCTTCCAGTTCTAGGAGATAGGATATCTCCATTTATAATAATCCCTGAGTCTTTAATTTAGATTGTTCTAGGTGACGTGTTGACAACCTTTTCCCAGCAATAATAAGTCGTCCTCTCCTTGCACCAAGAACTTGTTGGCTTCATTTCTTTTAAAACCTTTAAAATGTGTTGATGAACTTTAATACTGAGTCAAGCAACAGAATTGGCAGCCCTGAAGAGTGAAGTCCTCCATTTTTATCTACAGATAAGTATTGCAGGTAATAGGAGTAGTGTAATCTTCCCCTCTGTGTCCTGATCTTCACTCGGACCTGGGGAGCTATTGCTGGGCTGAGAGAATAGTTGACTCTCCATTTAGTCCTTGTCTCTGCTAAGTTGTAACCGTCTGTTTGGCTGCCATTTGGTGGTGGTGGTTTTGTGCCATAGATACTTGTCTGCTGAGAACTACATGGAGACCTTCCATGTCATTTTATATAGGTCACTGAAAAGTCATTGTATGGTAACTTTCAGCTGCTTACTAAAGTAGGCTGAATTTGATCAAGTAGCCTAAAAATGACACTGCTTGTCCCATGACTAATACCATTCTGAGCCATTCGGCCACTGATTTGCTGTATGACGTTGGGCAAGCCGCTTCACTGTGCTTCAGGTTTCACATCTGTAAAAAGTGGGTAATACCCAGTTCAGAAATACCCAGCTTAGAAATTACGGGATTTCCTGACCTCAGTCCTCTGCCCCCGTCACCAATTCTGATGTGGATTCTATTTCCATGGCACCTGTGTAATAACAATAATTTAATAGCAACAAAATTACTGGCTGCTTTCTGAGCAACGTGCAGCCTTATCAATTCATTTCCCAGGTTTCTAACAGTTGTATTTTTAAACTCTATGTTCAGAAATATACATTCAAATTAGGGCTGTCGGTTAATTGCAGTTAACTCACGCGATTAAAAAAATTAATCACGATTAATGGCGGTTTTAATCGCACTGTTAAACAATAAAATACCAATTCAAATGTATTAAATATTTTGGATGTTTTTCTATATTTTCAAATATATTTATTTCAGTTAAAACAGAGAATACAAAGTGTACAGTGTTCAGTTTATATTATTTTTATTACAAATATTTGTACTGTAAAAATTATAAGAAAAAATATTTTTTCAATTAATCTCATACAAGTACTATAGTACAATCTCTTTATCGTGAAAGTGCAACTTACAAATGCAGACTTTTTTGTGACATAACTACACTCAAGAACAAAACAATGTAAAACTTTAGAGCCTACAAGTCCACTCAGTCCTACTTCTTATTCTGCCAATCGCTAAGAGAAACAAGTTTGTTTATAGTTATGGGAGATAATGCTGTCCACTTCTTATTTACAGTGTCACCTGAAAGTGAGAACAGGCGTTCGCATGGCACTGTTGTAACCAGCATTGCAAGATATTTACGTGCCAGATGTACTAAACATTCGTATGCCCCTTCATTCTTCAACCACCGTTCCAGAGGACATGCTTCCATGCTGATGATGCTTGCTAAAAAAAAATAACACGTTAATTAAATTTGTGACTGAACTCCTTGGGTGGAGAATTGTATGTCTCCTGCTCTGTATTTTACCCACATCCTGTCATATATTTCATGTTATGGCAGTCTTGGATGATGACCCAGCATGTTGTTGGTTTTAAGAACACTTTCACTGCAGATTTGACAAAACGTAAAGAAGGTACCGATGTGAGATTTCTAAAGATAGCTACAGCACTTGACCCAAGCTTTAAGAATCTGAATGCCTTCCAAAATCTGAGAGGGACGAGGTGTGGCGCATGCTTTCAGAAGTCTTAAAAGAGCAACACTCCGATGCGGAAACTACAGAACCCAAACTACCAAAAAAGAAAATCAACCTTCTGCTGGTGGCATCTGAGTCAGATGATGAAAATGAACATGCGTCGTTCCACACTGCTTTGGATTGTTATCGAGCAGAACCCATCATCAGCATGGACGCATGTCCTCTGGAATGGTGTTGAAGCATGATGGGACATACGAATCATTAGCGC